CACGCTGCCGGAGGTGGGGCTGGGGACGGTGGACCAGGCCAGGTGGGCGGGGTGGCCCTGAAGCGTCTGGGGAGAGTCCTGTCAGGTGGGAACCATGAGAGGCCGAGCTGGGGTTGGTTGAGACGGGGGTTGGAGGCAAAGCGGCGTTGCGGTTTGGTTGGAGTTGGCTGGAGGGGGGAGGAGCGAGGCGGTCGGTGGGAATGATGGCCTGGCGGAGACCCGTGTTGGCCAAAGGAGGAAGTTGGAAGCGCGCTCCAGGCACATGGAACACCACGTGCAAAGCTCTGGAGGCAAAAGAGCGGGCGCGTCCGAAGAACCTCTCCAAGGCCAGTGCCCGGGGGCGGGGAGAGCCGGGAGCAGTGGTGGGAGGGAGGCAGGGGCCAGGTCTCGCCCCGCCGTTGTTACCATCCGCTCAGGGACGTTTTGCACCCAGTGTGCCCTGAGCCTTCACACAGCCCCGTAGTCCCGGCCACGGCCCCAGGGGTTCGCACATCCCAGTCGCAGAAGCTGCAACGTGGGGGGTGGGCCGTGCCCCCACCCGAGTTAACTGCCCCTCCGCCCCGCAGCCAACGTGTGCGACGACGACCAGCTGCTCTGCCTGAACGGCGGCACCTGCTTGCAGAACCAGCGCTGCGCCTGCCCGCGCGGCTACACCGGCGTGCACTGCGAGCAGCCTCGCTGCGACTCCGCTGACGACGACGGCAGCCTGGACTGCGACCGCGCGCCCGGGGCCGCGCCGCACCCCGCCACCCTGCTCGGCTGCCTGCTGCTGCTGGGACTGGCCGCCCGCCTAGGCTGCTGAGCCCTGCCGGGGGACCCGCGGCCAGTGAGAGCGGGTCCGCGCGCCCTGCGCCCTGCGCCCAGGGGCCCGAGGCTCCGGGGGCCCGGGGGCCGGCCTCCGTGGCGCGGCGGCGAGAAGAGTGCAGCCGGAGCTGCTCCCAGGTGCTACTCAGCAGAGTCCTCTGCTCTCCTCCCGCCCGACTCCGCGGCACCTGCCCCGCCCTGGCTCTACAGCAGGGGGCGCTGTGGGGCCCTCGCCCCAGCGCCCTGTGATTTGGGTCTTAGTTTTTCTATTACCCTTCGCCCCTTGTCCCTTTCCGGTTTTATTTTAAATGTTTTTTGCTGGCGGTGAGACTGGGTGGGGAGAAACGCTGCTCACCCAACACCCCCAGGTTCACACACACACACACACACACACACACACACACACACACACACACACACGACTGTTGCAGACCCCCTGCGCCTATCCCTGGCTTATCATCAGCCAGCGGACTCAGAACTCCAGTTGCCTACAACTCTAGTCGCTGACTTGATTCTCTTTTATATTCTTTCTCAGTTTTCCTTTGCAACCCACCAGACCCCAGGCCTGGTGACCAAGGAACTCGCCGTCTGGGGGAGGGAGTTAGGAAGGAGGGTTGGGAGGGCTGGAAACTTCGTTTTGTAGAGAACTATTTTTGTTTGTATTAACCGTACCCTGTAAGAAGGGACATGCGCGGGAAGCTGGTCGCCACGGGGTGCTTGATGGTGTATAATCCGACAGAGTAAAAAATCTGCTCACTGCTGCCTCCAGGGCCTGCTTCCTTTCTGTGTTCATTTGGGATTTAAAGAGGAGCCCCAAAATAGCCTTAAAGAAACAATATCACTTTCAGGCCACCGTCCCCCAGGCTCCCTCACTGCTTGGCCAGGTGTGGCCATGCCAGTGACCACATGCTCCCCAAACTTGGGGATTGTCTCCCTCCTTTCCTTAAAATAAACAAAAAAAAAAAAACCAAAAAAAAACCCAAACGGAGTTTATTGCAGTTTTCCTCAGCTGTCCTCAAATTTAACAGCACACAGTGGACGCTGATGTAGTTGCTATGAAGTCCAAGGGACACGGCCAGCCCGGCTTTCTGTTGGGCTGTGACTTCCAGACCCGGTTTCCATTGTAAATCAGAAGGGTGGTGTGGCCTCAGACCTGCTGGGCCCCAAGCCTCAGGCCCAGTGTCTGCTGCCACTGCCTCTTTCCAGAGGCCCCTGCTGGCCGAGAGTCCCAAGGAGGGATGGCCAAGGGGACGTAGGAACAGTGTGAAGTTGTGAGAGGAAGCTCTGAAGAATGGGGCCCATCGTCTGAGGCCCTTGGCTAGGGAGGGTGCACTGGGTCTGTCCAGCCCTCGGGGGTGGCACTCCGGATTTCCCTCCCTACATACTTCCTTCCTCAAGCCAGGAAGACTCCCAGGGCCGCGAATTCAGTTCTGGATCCTCACGGCTCCTACAGCCCCCGCCTGCAGTCACCCTCTGGCACCGGCTTCTGCCAGCAGCAGCCACTCTTTCCAGGCTGGGAAGCTTAGACCTGCCACACGCTCTCAAGGCCCCAAGACAATGCTAAGACTGAGTTTAACAAAACTTGGCCTTGAGGATGATGAGATTACAAGACGGCAAAGGGGCGCTACAGCTGACATTAACTACAACTAGCTGCATCTCAAGGCCAAGCACCCCCAGCTCCCAGCCCCAATGCCAGGTGGCAGGGTCACCTCCCAGCCCCCAAAGGAAGTGCCTTCTGTCAGGTCCCTGTGGCTTTACCACCTTCCTTATTGACAGAACCCTACTACCCCCAGCTGGGGCTCCTTGTGCACAGGAGTGGCCATGTGACAGTTCTGACCAATGAAATGTAAGCAGGAGTGATGGGTGGGGCTTCCAGGAAGTTCCCCAGAAAACTTCCCTCCCCCAACTCCCCAAGCCTCAGTTGGCCGAGTTTTGGGTCCTGGCTTTTCTCTCTCAACTCTCCCCCTAGTGCTGAGTCAGCAGGGCTGGAGGGAGGGGCCCCCTGGTAACCCTGGGTGGAGCCAAGAAGGTAGATGCTGCTTTTCTAAGGACCTAGCAAAGCCAGGGACCAGCGCTGGCTGCCGACCTCCGCACTTCTCAATGTGTGAGAAAAATAAACCTTGATGTGCAAAACACTGGAATTTGGGTTTTCTGTTACATGCAGATTTACCAATTCCTAAATTATAGGTTCGTCCAGCATCCGGGCCCCTGAGCCCGCTGAAGCCAGAGAGGCTAAAACCCTTCTTCCCTCAGCCGCAGCCCTCATGCCATGCACTGCCCACTACACGGCAGCGTTAGGCCAGCCAGTCAGGGCCTGCCTCCACCCTCCACCTGTAAACGAGCACAGGGGGGCAGGATGACCCAAATCTACTCTGAGATAACCATCAACGCTGGCTGCAACTTGTAAACAACAGTCGCCTTCCTCCCAATCATTGCGGTATTAAAACATAAAGGAAACACGATAATTTGAGTGCGCGCGCGCGCACACACACACACACACACACACACACACACACAGAGTCTGGCCCCTCCATAGACACAGAACTTACGGATTGTGTGCATGTTTTTTTTTGTTGAGGGAAGTAGGATGGGAGGGGGGAGGGTCCTGTTCCCCAGCAGGGCTCTGGGGCAAAAATCTTATCTTGTGTGTGTGTGTGTGTGTGTGTTGGGGGGGGGGCACAGTGTAACCCCCAGTAGAAGTGAGTGGCTGTGAGCTGTTAACAGGCCAACACAGCAGTGGGCTGGGGGACCCCCATAAAGGGGCTCTGGACCAGACACCAACAGTTCTACTGCACACACACACACACACACACACACACACACGCGCGCGCGCGCACACGCACGCACACACACACACCTTTGTGTCACCCTGGGTGTGTCCCCAGAAGACTCCAGAGGGGTCTGGGAAGAGAAGGGCCTCTGGGGGCTCTGCTCTGTCCTCCCAGACCTCTCTCAGCCAGACTAGCGCTGTGTCAGCTTCCCTGGGACCTGGTGTCTTTGTGCCAGAGAGGGCCAGGGAGGTGAGGCAGGTCGTAAATCAGAGTGGCAGCCCCAGTCCCCGAGGACAAGGCTCAGCCCTGACCTCTGCCGGAGGCTGGAGGGAAAGTTGCCAGTGGCCGTTTGGAAAAATCTGACATCTTCCAGGCAGCAGGGAGAGGGAGAAAACAAGGTTAGCAGAGCCCAAAGTCATAGCCCAGCTGCTTCTTAGGTGGTGTGTCCTTGTCCCCAGAGCGCCTGCTCTGACTTCCAGTTTTGAGAGGTAACGAGGAGAAGGCGCCCATTTCACAGCTCAGATAACACAGCTGCTCTGCATGCCCGCTTACACTTAACCTTCACCTTCACCCTCGGGCAGGTTTCTCAACCTTGGTGCCATTGGCATCAAGGGCGGGATAACTCTTGGGGGAGGGGCCTGTGGTGTGCGTTGCGG